GGTGTTGGACGTGCGTGTGAAGTGTCGCAAATGAAAGCCACACAACATTTTTATTGCACGCGGACTGACAGTTGACAGCTGAAATTGTGGCGATTAAGGCTGTATTTTTGGCTGATCTGAATCATTTGGCTGATGATGATTCAGTTTCAGTTTAGATTTCAGTTTCGGTTCGCTGGTTAGTCAAGTGTACGAGTACGAGTATACTATATACATACATATGTACGATATTTCAAGAAGCTACACATTTGTGTGTTTGCGCCGTCTGGCTGGCACTTCGATAAGATAAGCCACCTTGGGCTTCTGCAATTTGGTCAGAGTGTTGTGCTGTGCTTTCGACGTAATCAAAAACCAGTTTTCAGTTTTTAGCTTTTGGTTTCTTTTGTTTTCTTTGTTGTTGTTGTTGCTTTTTTTTTGCACAAACAACAAGCAGCAGGCGCAGGCACATGCGGCAAAGGCAACTTTTATGTGCGGCAAGTATTTCATTATAGGGATATTTTTCGTTTCAGTTTCGTTTGACGGCAGCAGCGGCAGCGGCGACGACGCATGACAACCCTTTGAGTACACACTAACACACACACATACCCACACACACACACACACTTGCAGCACTTTTATAGCGTTGCAATCATGCCGATGTTGCATGATGCATGTTGAATGTTGCATGTGCGCTTGTGTTTCAAATATATTGCACACTTAACAAAGCCATTAGGGTGAGTCGAAAAAAGTTTGGGCCTTTTCTTGCTATATATTTTGTGAATAAACATAAAAACCAATAAATCATTTACTATCTGACAAAATAAATTTGTATAAATCTGAAATATTTTTAATAATTTTTAATTCAATTGGTCGAAAGCAATCAGAATTGGTTCAGTACAATTGCAAAAATCGCAATGTTTAAACCAATTTGTAATTTATATATAACTTAAAAATTTAAATTATAAATAGTAAGTTCTCATATAATCAATATTAAATACATATTGTATTTATTTATTTAATTTATTTTATTCATTTTATTTATTTTATTCATTTTATTTATTTTATTCATTTTATTTACTTTATTTTATAAATCAACAAATAGTGATGTCAATACTTGTACATATCTAAAAACTGGGTTTTATTTTATATATTTTTTTCACTATATTATAATATCTAAAATTACGTTATACTTTCAACTTAAAAGATAAAAAAGCATAAGAAAAAACTGGGGGAATTTTATTTGTCATTTGGCTAGCTATGCCCCGAATCACAGCCACAGAGATATTATAGGCATAACAAACTAAAAAAAATAGTAAGTAGATTAGGAAAATTAATTCTACTTAGGAGCTAATTCAGCATAGAGAGAAAGATGCACCGGGTTACACCCGGTGGGGGAAAATTTGAATGCCAGTCTGTCAAGCTATGCGATATATGTATAAGTGATGATATCAATATTTAAGTACCCTACTCTTACAGCATTTTAACAATTCAATTGTATGGTTTGTAAATAAAAAGTTTCTGGGCATTTTGTACAAAAAAGGAATTAAAATTTTATTTATAATTATAATAGCTTTATGGTCGCTTTTAAAGTATTTTATCGTCAAATGCGATAAATGTGCGACTTAAAGTTTTGGGAAAAGGAAAAAACTGGAGACCCATTATTTGGTTGTCTATAACGCGTTTTGTGCCCATAAGTGTAATAAAAATGTGTTCGGCCGGTTCAATTGAGATGCCAAAATCTGAAGTAATCAACTGCTTACAACACGCCCATTTTTACAAATTTCTATCTATTTCTATTTTTACTTAAGGAAATATATTAAGAAAATATATTTTGAGAAATTCAAGAAGTATGATATAATATTGAATTAAATATGTATAAATATAAACATGTTCTTGAATGGTACTTTTTGACTCACCCTACTCATGCCTATTCTTGTCCGCCTCTGCAGAAACATTCATACAATGTTTATGCAATTCTTATTGCTGCTTTATGGCTTTTCTGATTTGTGCTCCTCTGTTCTGTGTTCTGCTCCAACTCTGGCTTATTTATGCCTTGGACTTGGACTGCATTCTGCTGTCTGCTCGTCTGCCTGTCGGCTGCTCCTTAGACCTTGACCACTAACATAGAAACAGCTCGAAACCGGTTTGGGTTTTTTGTATTTCCAGCCTTTGTTTTGTCTCTTCTCTGCCAACAGGAACGCCTGTGGAAGGCACCCAACAAATAAATCAAATATTGCATATAATTCGATTGAATCGAAACGCAATTCGAACTCGAATTGAACATCTCACGGCCAATTACTGAGTATTCCCCTTTAGCAACTATTAATTTATTTATTTCAGAAACAATTCTTCGCTCACACGCACACCAACCAAGTCGTGCCTTGTGTAATAACTATGAGCTGTGAATATTAATTAAAAAAACACTTATGCATATTTTTCTTTTGACAATCCTCGCCACATTTGGAGGCGTCTACCTAAAGGGGTTAATAGTGTTTTGTTGGGTGCCGAAATTAATTAACCAAAATGTTTGTTAATTTCTCCATAATTACAGGTTATGAACGTGCACGACTTGCAGCGTCGTGTATGAATATAAAATATGTCTTGACCTCCCTACATACATAAATATAAGTCTTTTAACTTTCTTGCCGCTCAATAAACCCGTTTAATGGCACCACAAAAAAAAAAAGAGCTCACGATGACAACAACAAGAGCCACACAAATGCCTTCCGCTCGCCGAGCTTACTGGACTGCCTTCACACCCTCGCAGCTGACCTAATTATGATTTGAATCGAAAGAATGAGCAACAACTGCCTTCAGGGTAGGTGCCTTTTTCCGAGAATATGAGCACATACCTTCTAGAATTTGTTTTACAAGTATAAATATTTACGCACGCGGGCGGTCTGAAAAGTATTGCAACCGAGTAGGGACTTCAACAATATCGATGCATTAAAAGCCTTATTTTCATAACAATGCATCAATGTAAATATGTAGACTTCAATAAAAATTTAAAATATTTGTAAAATGAATATAATATATTATCATTTTATAAAATGTAAGTATGTACGCCCCTTGTTCAAATAAACACTACTTGGAAAACAGTGCAATGTCTTCTCTAAATATATAGTTATACATACATATATATGGGTCTTTAAAATAATTGCGTTTACACTATTTATATATATAATTAGATTACGGGGCGACGTTTGAATTTTAACCGGCTATATACGTCAGCCTTTTGCTAAGTAAGCGCTGGTGTTTCTGGTACATAAAACCCTACTAAGAGGCCTTTCCATATACAAATTATACATAACAAACTTTGATGTACCTACATAGAACAGTCTACTCAACCGATGTTTCGCATCATGTCTAACGTTTATTCATGCCGTCGAACTATACTACTTAAAAACTTATAAAGCCCAGTCAACGCAGCAATTTCTGCAATTTCTTATAGGATAGATCATTGCCGATCAGAAAGGAGAAGCGTCAGATGACATGCCATCAAAGAGAGGACAGTCTACACAAAACTCATTGGTTTTTTTTCGGAGCGATATCCAATTAAAATACGACAGATTTACCAATATTATATGATCAGAAATTCGGCTGAGCAGGAAAGTATATGGCAGACCCCTTTTTGAAAAAATTTAGGAAGCACAGGAAATGTAAAATTTTCCATAATTTTTGTTCAAACAAAAAAAAAAAAAATAAATAAATAATAATAATAATAATAAAAATAATAATCAAAATAATAATAATAACAATAATATTAATAACAATAATAAGAAAGTAAGATTGCAAATGAAGTAATGCATTGTTGCATGCAATATGGTATTACTTGTATAAATAAACAAGAAAATAGAATTGCTAGCGTACCCCTAATTATAGAGATCTTCCTGACACATCATCATTAACGGCTTAACAGCAATATGTGTATGTCTTTTGAAATCGTACAATGTTTACCATTACTTCTTGTTTCCCAAAACACTTTAATTCATAAAAGGGATAATTTATTAAAAAGACAATCCACGGATAAAAAACTTTACGCCTTCCTTTTTACTTCAAATGAGATTCGATTCTAATAATATTGCAATTGTGCTGCTGCCCGGTTAATAGATTATCAACTTTTAAAAAACTATAATTTAAAAGCTTTCTGGATAAAAAACGGTTTTAAATTTAATTTGAATAGCCAATAATTTTTTAAAACTGTTTGTAAGTCTACCAAATGATAATAGAAGTAATATAATCTGCAAAGCAACACATGATTTTAAATTATTGTTCAAAATGTTTTATTTTCAGTAGATTTGCCAAAAAAAAGAACAACATTATTTTGAGTCGTAATAAGTAGCTCTGAGTAAATTAAAGATTTTCAATTTATTCTTCTTAGTGCAGTCTCGAATAAATGAATGTGATTTTCATTTGTAACTAATCCTTGGGCTTTCTTGTCTTCCGCTTCTTCGTTCGACTTTTGTTGAATACTTATTAAATGGTTGTGATGGTGCACATTTCTTATAAGAGCCACGCACTTCAGTTTTCAGCTAAACAGCCAATTAATTGTTAAAGTAGGAATCGAATGAGCTCCCACAAATGCACAGATAATCTTGAATGCCAGAAAACTTCAGAGTAATCAGCTGATGGCTATTTAAAAACGAAATATTGATTTGATGCAATTTTAATGATGTGGGTTCCTAACTAGGTCGACTAATTTTTTTTTGGCCTGCCCTCGTTCGCTGTTGCTGCTTCTGTTGTTGTTAGTGCTGTTGCCCATCGAGCAATTTGATCCCCTAATGTTGGCAAGAATCACGTGTCTCGATTATGATTTACTTTTTCCATATCAGCTGACCCCTTTTCATTCGATGTAGACAGCATCTGCAAGCACATTTTCAAATGGGGAATCGGAACCTGACCTTGTTCAGGCTTCTTAAATTTCAAAACAACAAGAAAGCAACAACTTGTTGCTCGCTAGCCCAAATTACTAATTGATGTTAAAGCCATTTGTGATAAACCCAACTAATTGAAATATCGAATCATTTGCCTGCGATGGAAAAGTTAAAAATACTTCCATGCACATATGTCTGTACATATGTACGAGTACAGACGTTTTATTAAATCGTTTATTTTATTTTATTAATGGTTCGTTAAGAGGCGGCCAAGTAGTTTACAAGCCGGTGATGGTGTTCTGGAATCAAAAATATATGCTATTAGCACCATCTAAGTAGAACATGAGATTGAACTTACGGCGAGATCGCCAAGAGCTTCATTGATCTTATCGACATAGGGAGCAGCGACATTGGCAGCCTTAGCAATGGTCTTGGCACTGATGGCCTACGGAAGGAACATGTTTGGAGAAGGGTAGCAATAAAGTGAATTATACTATAGATATGATTTAAAAATACTTACACCACCCTCACCAATAATTGAAGCACCGTCGGACTGTTAGAAGAAAGGGCATTGCTAAATCAAAGTTTGGGATTGAAAAACTTTAATACATACCGCAACGCTTTGTGCCTCAGGCTCAGCAACGAAACGAGGTTGGGGCTTCACATATTCATCCTCAGCGACAGGCACAGGCTTCTCATATTTGTCCTCGACAGGTACAGGCTTTACAAACTCAAAGCGAGGCTGGGGCTTCACATAATCATTCTCCTCAGGAACGAAGCGAGGCTGGGGCTTCACATACTCGTTCTCCTCTTCAGCTCTCACACCAGTGATAGTATTCTAAATTCGAAAAACATTATTAAAAGAACAATATTGAGTTGGGAGAGATTTATTCACAGCGAGATCACCAAGTCCATTGGCAACTCCTCCCAAAACAGCACCGATTAGGTTTTGAGCTTCGGGCTTAACATAATCATTCTCCTCCACAGGATTGAACCAAGGCTCAGGCTTCTGATATTTATCCTCGACAGGTACAGGCTTTACAAACTCAAAGCGAGGCTGGGGCTTCACATAATCATTCTCCTCAGGAACGAAACGAGGCTGGGGCTTCACATATTCGTTCTCCTCTTCAGCTCTCACACCAGTGATAGTATTCTACAAGTAAATTCGAAAAACATTATTAAAATAACAATATTGAGTTGGGAGAGATTTACTCACAGCGAGATCACCAAGTCCATTGGCAACTCCTCCCAAAACAGCACCGATTAGGTTTTGAGCTTCGGGCTTAACATAATCATTCTCCTCCACAGGATTGAACCAAGGCTCAGGCTTCTGATATTTATCCTCGACAGGTACAGGCTTTACAAACTCAAAGCGAGGCTGGGGCTTCACATAATCATTCTCCTCAGGAACGAAGCGAGGCTGGGGCTTCACATACTCGTTCTCCTCTTCAGCTCTCACACCAGTGATAGTATTCTAAATTCGAAAAACATTATTAAAAGAACAATATTGAGTTGGGAGAGATTTATTCACAGCGAGATCACCAAGTCCATTGGCAACTCCTCCCAAAACAGCACCGATTAGGTTTTGAGCTTCGGGCTTAACATAATCATTCTCCTCCACAGGATTGAACCAAGGCTCAGGCTTCTGATATTTATCCTCGACAGGTACAGGCTTTACAAACTCAAAGCGAGGCTGGGGCTTCACATAATCATTCTCCTCAGGAACGAAGCGAGGCTGGGGCTTCACATATTCATCCTCAGCGACAGGCACAGGCTTCTCATATTTGTCTGAGACAGGTTCAGGCTTAACAAATTCATCTCCTTGAGCGACAAAGCGAGGCTGGGGCTTCACATACTCGTTCTCCTCTTCAGCTCTCACACCAGTGATAGTATTCTACAAGTAAATTCGAAAAACATTATTAAAAGAACAATATTGAGTTGGGAGAGATTTACTCACAGCGAGATCACCAAGTCCATTGGCAACTCCTCCCAAAACAGCACCGATTAGGTTTTGAGCTTCCGGCTTAACATAATCATTCTCCTCCACAGGATTGAACCAAGGCTCAGGCTTCTGATATTTATCCTCGACAGGTACAGGCTTTACAAACTCAAAGCGAGGCTGGGGCTTCACATAATCATTCTCCTCAGGAACGAAGCGAGGCTGGGGCTTCACATATTTATCTTCAGCGACAGGCAAAGGCTTCTCATACTTGTCTGAGATAGGTTCGGGCTTTACAAATTCATCTTCTTGAGCGACAAAGCGAGGCTGGGGTTTCACATATTCGTCCTCCTCATTCAGCTTGATGTGGGTGATAGCATTCTAATGCAGAATCCAATGAAATATATATTAAAATTATTCTATTTTTCAAAATAATGCGACAGTAGGACTCACAGCCAGATCACCCAAAGCATTAGCCATAGCGCTCAAAATGTTTTGAGTTTCGGGGTCCACAAAATAGGGTTCAGGCTTAGTACGGCGATGCAACTGAAAGGAAAAGTATTTTCCATTTTAAAGGAATTTCACAATATTCAACATTTTAAATTCTTTTATACTCTACCTTCTCTATATGCACGTGATGATGAACAACAGTTTGCGGTTCAGGCTGTGCCGCCTGAACAGTATTCTCGAGCTGATGGATGATCTTCTCACCGGCCACGGCAACTTGTGACACGTCACTCATAACGCCACCGATACTGATGGTACCGGCATTGGCCTGGTGTGCGACCAATACTATAGCCAAAATGGCTAAAACTTTGAATCCTTGCATGTTCTTTCTCTGGGTTTACTTTAAAAGTACTGAGTAAAAGCTGATGAAGAAGCATTATTTATAGGCGTTTATTATCTATTCTTGAATCGTCAATAGACAAGCTATCGCATAGTGAAGTGTGCCAAGCTGTTAGTAAAATCCCAAAATAAAATAAAAAAATAAACTAAACAATTTGATATCAATTCTGAACCGTAGAGTAGATCGCTCGACTCTTGTATACACTACAATTGTAACTAAGAAATAGGAAAATAAAAGTGAGGTCGACAGTTTCTATGACAGCTATACAATAAAGGTTTGTAATAGACGGAAAGGAAAAAGCCTTCAATTTTGGGATCCCTAGCTGTTATACTTCAAGAGATATAGAGGCTCATACGTGCAGACAAGTAATCAGGCGTCATGCCACGCTCTTATCTATTCTGTCTATTACATACATTACCATCTTTTTAGTATACCTTTTGCTTTCAAGGTATAAAATAGTATCAAAAATGTGTCATGTACTCGTGGTATTCAAATGTTGCTATCACAAGTAAAATCAAGCCAGTCGAGTTCAAGTACCTCTTGTTGGGGGAATGACTTGAACTAATGGGGCAAAGGCGTAATTTCTGATTGATAGTTGAATAGATTATCTGAAGCAAACATAAATATTTCGCACATAGTCACACATTGACGGTTATTTCCAAGACGATAACAACTTCCTTTTGAAATGAAACATTTATTTGTTTTGAAAATTAATGCACTAAATATCTTCACCCTTGAGTGGAAAGTATTTATAGGGTTTGATGGGTCCCGGCCCCTTTGTACGAACTGACCGTACATTGTGCTCTTCAAACGACTTTTGCTGCTCGTCATTTTGCTGCTTGGGATTTCTATAGTTCTTGAAATCGAAATTTAAAAAGTATTTCGGTTGCTTGCGATGTTGTTTTCCCTGTGTGGCATTACCCGCGGCCTTGGAGTAGGTAAATCGTATAAAAGCATTGTCAGCGGGCTGTATTTTAAAGGCCTTTTTATTGCCAGTGCTGGAAACATTCGCGAAAAAGTCCTCAAAATTATTCTGCAATTATATTCGATGAACTATTATTATTCAGGAATCCTTCCCGAGAGCACTTACAAATTTCTTGATTAGCTTTTTATTTTCAATCACATTAATGCGCAGCTTTTTCTGCATATCAGCGGCCATTTCATGCATAGATCTACTCAAGGCCCCAAGCTGTCGGTCTTTCGGTAAGGCGAGGAACGCGGCTAGGGAAAAACACAAAACTTTAAGAGCTAACATTGCTCAGCTAGTGGCATATACTACATGTTTTGGTTTACGTTAGAAAATCGGAGCTTAATATTCGATTGGTTATGGCAGCAAATAATCTTACGCTCTACACTAAAGGGTGCACCATGATGTGTGCATTGTGTGTTATGCAACACTCATATATGTGAATTGACGGGAACGTGTGAATCGTCTGTTTGTCTGTATGATCCTTAATATCCTTGGAACTATAATAGTCAGGAACACCAAATTTTTTAATACACTTTTAATAAAAACAACTATTTTGTTTAAAATGATGAAAAATAACAGCTGCCTTAAAAGAAAATTGTTATTAAAAACGACTATATATTGAAGTTTTATCAAAATCGCAATATTATTAGGGCAAAATTTATTCGTTGTGTTAATCCTCTTTTTATTAAATACGATAATCAAGCTCGATATTTATTAGTCTTTAATACATATATACTTGTTATCAAATTATATAAGAGGCGTGCGCTCGCGTCGGCATTGTTTTATAGTTTGTTTTAATTTCGTATCAAATTATAGATTAGCTCTACCCTAAGACCTTACACATCGCCTTCTTCCTTCATTGTCTGATTCACGAATTGGACTTGCTGCCCTTTTTGGCTGTCGCATTATTTTGGGAGGGTTTGGAGACGGCAATTTTGCTTCGTGGCTTAAATGTGGGGGCAGTCTTAGCAATAGGTTCGGATTTACGCTTAGTCCTGAGCATATGTTCGCGTCGTTCCCTTTTTTTTTCCGCTCTCTGCAACTGATCGAGTTCATCCTATATGTAATGGGTATACAAGCCTAAATGAGAATGTCTGATATTTTTTTACTTCCAGCCTACCAGATCTTCCCGTAGAATTTTTGACCACTTCGCCAAGTCCATGTTCAATATTTGCGCCTTCGCAGCCGCCTTATCAATGACCTGAATAGCTTCATCTAAAGTATCACCAATCCGCCCTATATTGATAGCAGCCAACCCTAGCGTAAATAGACTCAGCAGTGGAAGCAAGAGTAGCGCAGACCACATTGCTAGCAGCTAAGGAACCGAAGACCAACTGCGGTTTTAAGAAATAATCTCCCGATTACAACTATGTCGAATCAATTATGCTTCAATTCATGCATTCTTGCATTCTCTTTTATTTAATCAAAGTATTTACCAAATTGCACATTTATATCCTTCTTCATGGTCTTGTGTAACTGAGAAGTGAAATATATTTTAATTTTGGAACTGAAGACTACAGCGAATACTCACAGATGCTGCTAACGTATATAAGGAAAGCCCCAACAGGATAACAAAAAATGTAACTACCAATTGCATTTTCCACCTCCGATTGTTAAGTCTAAGACTTTTTGTTTGAAACTGTATTTAATAATTTCTATTGAGCTTATATCTGATGATCGATAGGTATACACGTCTTGCGGTAAGAATACTGAAAAATCAGTTGGTTATAGAAACGGTCTATTTATAAAGAAACGGTCTGTTTTTAAAAAGTCAAGTTAATCTTTTAGTCATCAACCATTTCATATTAAGATATTGCCGTAGAATTTTTGCCCACTACTATTTTTTTTAATAACTGCCCCTTCGCAACTGCCTTATCAATGACCCCAATAGCTTCACCTAAAGTTTCAAAATAATCTCCCGATTATAACTAACACATGTAGGATCAATTATGCTTCAATTTTTAATGCATTCTCTTTATTGATACTTTATCAATTTTAACCCTTCTTTGGGTCATCCTTCTTTACTACATTGTGATCCTGAGAAGTGAAATATATTTTAATTTTGGAACTGAAGACTGCAACGAATACTCACAGATTGTGCCAACGCATATGAGGAAAGCCCCAACAGGATAACAAAATATATTACCAATTGCATTTTCCACTTCTGATTGTTAAGTCCAAGACGGGTTGTTTGAAACTGTAGTAAATAATTTCTAGTGAGTTTATATATGATGACCCATAGGCATATAGCGGCAAAAATGCTGAAAAATCAGTTGGTCATGGTTGGTTGGCGATTGCATTAGAAACGGTATGTTTTTAAAATGTCAAGTTAAACATTTTGTCATATTAAGTTTTTCCAAGATCTTGCCGTAGAATTTTTGCCACTTTCATTTTTATAGACTGTACCCAAAGGGTGAAAGGCTATACTAGTTTTGTGCGAATGTATGTAACACACAGAAGGAGGCGTGGCAGACCCCACAAAGTATATATATTCTTGATCAGGGTGACCAGCCGAGTCGATATAGCCATGTCCGTCTGTCCGTCTGTATGAGCGCAAGTATCTCGGAAGGTACAAGAGCTAGAATAACCAAACTCGGTATCCAGATTCCCATAAGCCCTAGGCAGGTCAAGTTTATTATTTTATTCTGATACACCCCCCCCTCCCACTCCCCCGCAATTCGTGTTTTTGTTTATTATAACGAACACATGTAGGATCAATTATGCTTCAATTTTTAATGCATTCTCTTTATTGATACTTTATCAATTTTAACCCTTCTTTGGGTCATCCTTCTTTACTACATTGTGATCCTGAGAAGTGAAATATATTTTAATTTTGGAACTGAAGACGGCAACGAATACTCACAGATTGTGCCAACGCATATGAGGAAAGCCCCAACAGGATAACAAAATATATTACCAATTGCATTTTCCACTTCTGATTGTTAAGTCCAAGACGGGTTGTTTGAAACTGTAGTAAATAATTTCTAGTGAGTTTATATATGATGACCCATAGGCATATAGCGGCAAAAATGCTGAAAAATCAGTTGGTCATGGTTGGTTGGCGATTGCATTAGAAATGGCCAGTTTTATAAAGGTCTGAAAATTATTCTAAAATTCATATGAGTTCTCAACATTAACTTAAACTTTATTTATTCAACTATTTCATATTAAGTTGTTCTAAGAGCCCTATAATTATAGTGTATGGTCGTGCGTGGTTTATGGTGCTCGCAAAATAAATTAATATTTTGGGTCCTTGTATTGAGAATAATTAAGTGCATGGAGCTATGTAAATGATTTAAGAACGTTGGAAGATGGATTCACACAAAATATGTGAGCATTAGAAGCAAGTGGATGGATTGAACAAACTGCCTCGAGTACTCCGCTGATACCACGCCTTGATTGTCTGATAATGTTACAGATGGGGCACAATGTGATTACGGATTTTAACAAATTATTAAGAGCTTCGCAGAATTCTTATTATCTTTAAAAAATGCCATACAGGCATTGCAAGCGTGCTTAATCGTTCTTGTGGTGCTTTCAAGTTTTTTAAAACTCTAACTACCTTAAATATCTTAATGCCTTTATGGAGACACGTATGTGTTTCGAACTAGAAGTTATGTATACCCAGAAGTATTATATTGGAATAGTTGGTGCAACTCAATAAACTAATCAAACCATTCAGTTTATGTTATCATCTGCTTATCTTTTTTAGTCTGAAATGATGGAAAAATGCGTGACACTTCTTCGTCACTTCTAGACTAAGTTTATCAAAATTAATTAAATCGTTTGCAGATAAAGCTTCAATGACTGGAACAATAATATTGGCGTATTCTGGAGACTTCGATGACTTTGTGGTAGTGATGTCATTCTATAAGTTCTGTTCACTACAAGTAGATCGCGGAAAGCGCAAGAAGTCTCTGTAGAGGCAATATAAATCACGCATGCCAGCTGGTATAAATTGCACATTTAATGAATAAATCTTGTATTCTGTATTAAAAATAAATCATTCTTTTAGAAGCTAAACACCGACTTGATATGCGTATGAAATATTTGTGACACGATTGCTGAAGTTCTACATCGGAATGTACTGATATTTCATATAAATTTGAAAATAAATAAACTTTTTAATTTTAACTCGTGACTTATATTCTTATTATATCTAAGATTAAATGAGGCACAAAAAAAATACGATGATAACCGATTGAAATAATTATATTTCTCAGTAACATTATGAACTTATTGTTTGGGGTCTCCTCTGCGATTCTCAGTATGAGCAGCTAAAGTCAATAGAAGAAGAAATAATCGTCAATCCAAGAACATTAGAATTGTTCTCGTAGAGGAATCAAAACAAAAAGTGTTTCAAAATGTTAAAAAAATAATAGGCGTGCATCAATTTTCTAACCGTATTTATTCTATTAGTTCTAAAGTCGTTTCGAGTACCTACATATTCATATATAGCATATATGTACATGGTTCTATCCCTTTTTTGGACTTCGCCTGTGCTTCCTTTGGGGAAACTCAAACTTTATGCTCATACCGGATTTCATGCTGATCGTTTGGGAAGGACCGCCACTCCCGCCTCTGACTTCGCTTTCAACATATTTCCCAAGTTTTTTCTACAATTAAATAGAATGCAGAGTGTGAGGTATAAATAGAGCTGTGCAGAGCCACTTACAAACTCCTTTTCGATCTGCCTACTATGTTTTGCGGATATTGGAATTTCGTGCTCCATATGGTCGGCCATTACATGCATTACGTTCTCCAAATTTTCCGAGTTGAAGGCGTTCGTTGCTCGCTGTTGGTTCAGAAATAACAGCAAGATTAGTAAAGTGAATGTGTTTGGAGTCGTCATTTCTTCTTCACAACATGGCGACAACTCATTAGGCCCCCTGATTAACGCTTCGCATATTCACAGGCATGGCTTGATTAAAATTGTTCCAAAGACTTTAATGGCCATTATCCATGGCTGTAAATCGCTTCGTTGCAGCGTCGCCACAAAATGCGATCAAACTGGGAATTGTGTCAAATGTTCTATATAAAGTTAATATTCTTACATTCGCATTATTCGTGCCACCCCCGCTGGCGGCCTTGTGGCGTTTAGGCCGTAAGCGTTAAAGCATTTATTGTGATTTTTATGCAGCCCGCAATCTTTTTAATACAGTTTTGCATAAAAAAGTTCCCACCGGCCGCAGTTACAGTTATACTCTCCTAATGTAAACAAGTTATAAAATACTCGTAAACGGCAAACTATAGCGTTGCCCCATAAAAATGCTATAAAATATGCTGCAGTCCTAAAAAATAAAAGGGAAAAGGTTCGTTCTTTTTATGTACCGCTTGTGAATTTGCGAAATGCAAAAATCATAAAAAAGCGCAACGTGCGGCCAGGACAAGGGGTCGAGGGTTGGATATTCCGGGGACCGGGCCACGTCAAAGGTGTCTGCCCTTTTGTGTATTTTTGTTGTTCATTATCGCAAAATCAAAATGCGTTTGTCAATGAATTAGAATCGCTTCAATGCCAGCATCGGATCGTAAAACAAATGTTGCTTCGCCAACGACGACGCACTTCTCTTATGTTGGGGAATACGAGTAGTTTTGAATGCCTTACGGAATCGGGTTTAAGTATTTTTTTATGATACTATAAACGTCGTGTAAGTTTGTAGGCTGGAAATTGTTATTGTTCCGCATAATGTGATTACATGACTCTACGTGTGAGTAGATGGAAGAAACAGCTTATAGAGAACTAAGTAGATGCCAGTCGAGTAGGCTTAATCGAACTGTTAAAAACGATGCATTATATGTGATTAAAAACTGCATTAAGTTGACTTATTTACTTATTTTTAAGAAACTTCTATAAAACCTTCTATGGAATACAAGCAACAAAAAAGAAAACACTTAAGAAAGTGCAGAAGTGCTTTCATTTTGAAATTTATAAAATAATCATAAAAGGTTTTCTGTCATTTTCATAAACAATTCGTTAGCTTAATGTTTAGAAAAATGGCTTAATTTCTAAAGATTTTGAAGAAAATGTGTATCCATAAGATTATCAAAAACAAAAATACATACAAAATTTGTTATTTGATTAAAATTGTTTATTTTATTTAAAATAATCACCTTACGACTCAATATTGTATTGCGTTTTGTGTCGGTTAGAATAGCTTCGTCGTCCTTAGAGCTCTGTTTTGATTGACAAATGCATTTTCCCAAAAATGTTATGGTTAAAGTACGTTTTTTTTTGTTGTGCCAAAAATGAGTAATAATTGCCGAAAACGGCGAATACTCTGCAACAAATGTTTCAAAAAACCGACATAAAAAGCAGCATAAGTCGTTTGGTCAGGTTAAATGCACTCCTAATGAATTATTCCCTTCGAAATATTGTTAAGTTTATGCGCATCTTGATGCTTTTATTCGACACTTTGTCTTTGGTAAAGGGTCGTATTAAAAACAACACTTTCTTTCATAGTAATGATTTATTTTTATATTTAAATTCTGAAAAATTTTGGTTAATTTTTGTATTGATAAGCGCAGTGCTATTTGTGTGAAAAAATGTTGCTTTTATTTATTCGATTGTCATGAAATGTTCATGAGATATCGTCAATATATGGCGCCACCAAAAAGTTCTGCATTCTTTGGTTATTTATAAAAGAAGTGTGCCATTTAAGTTATAATATATTTATTTACTATGATGTAATTTTTTTAAAATCCTATTTATATATGTTCAATATACATTAATTGAACATTTAAATAATGTACAACACAAAACTGAATTAAAAATAATTGAATAGAATTAAGGTAGAAAATTATTATCAATAAAACATCTGTTCAAACACACTATGTTGACATTTATAAGTATTTTTAAACTATAAAAACACACTTGTTAAGTACTATAGATAAGGTTTTATAGCCTAAACTGTTTATTGTTAACTAATAAAATTTATGAGTCCAATTATTCTGAATAAATGAAATGAAATTAATTCTAAGATTTATAATGTTTACACAGAAATTAATGAACATGCTAATTACTCAAATTTGGATGTAAATACTTGCATTATCAAGCAATAAAATCAAATCAAATAACTGATAATGTAAGGCCGTCGACACTAAAACGTATTTAATAATCTAATAACAACAACAAGTACGGCCAGAAAAGCCACTTGTGCATATGACTCAGAAGTAAGAATAGTAGGTAAATGAAAATGTGTAACAAATGCAAGTAATTTGCTACGATTATAATTTTTTCCAATTTTCGTAAATTTTTTTGATTGTGTTTTCATTAATAAATCCATTTAGAAATATATATATTTTTATAAAAATTGTGTGTTTAGGCATTGCTTTGCACTTTACTATACATATTTTCTACTACCTTTTTCATGCACCGCGTCCACTTCTAACAGACATCACGGCAACACTCTATTGAAATCATCCCCAAAACTATGCCAAGAATACATGTTGTGTGGACTTTGTTTGCCTTTGAAATAAAATGTTCGTTTGACAGAGTCTACAAGCAAGGCAGCGTGGCCGAGCGGTCTAAGGCGCTGGTTTTAGGCACCAGTCCGAAAGGGCGTGGGTTCGAATCCCACCGCTGTCAGTGAAAAGAAAACTTTTTTGCTTTGAACTGTTATTTCTAATGCCTGATGAGCGGGAATTGTAATGAATTTTGTGTTTTAGTTAGAAATGACAATTTTATTATTTTTTTTTTTTGGTTCTTACGCACTTAAATTATGGAAGTAGAATGATTCTATGTTTATATCGATTGGCTGTCAAGTGCCATCTAGGGGAAGCGGGCGCCAACCGGCAGCGTGGCCGAGCGGTCTAAGGCGCTGGTTTTAGGCACCAGTCCGAAAGGGCGTGGGTTCGAATCCCACCGCTGTCAGCAAGAGATTGATTTTTTTAATGGAAAGACTTTTTTAAATAGAATGCTTATTAATTTTTGTGAAATAAAATTCTAGTTGCCAGTAAAATTAATTTTTTTTCTTAATTTAAATACAATAATATTAATCTAGAACTAATATAAATCTGATTTAAGTTAATTAATTAGAAAAAGAGTGCATTTATTTTTATTAGACCAGAGAATATTTAGAGGCCAGACCAAGCTTTTATTAACCTTCTGTTTTGATAGAGCAAAACATTATTTGCTCTTAAATTGTTATTTTATAGATATTTTATATATTTTAGTATGAAAGAAAAATCTGTGATGCAAATGTCTCACAAACCTTAAGATACTATTTATTTAATTTTTTTTTATTTTTACTATTTATTTATTTAAAGAGCTTGACATATTTTACCTCTGACCTACGTGTTTAATTTTGGATTGTGTGTTGCATTCTTTAGCGCACCCTTAGAATATTTCAATATTTCGGCTATCGGTAAGAATATTCGTTATTGTAGAGTTTTTGATGCAATTCCGCCTTTGCAAAAATACGAAATTGCTGTTCTACTAACCCAATACAAAATCTGTATTGCATGCAACATGCTTTTCATCGTATTTTTTATTGCACAACTAATTATACACAGCGCACGCCCTCCCCACGCCTATTTTCCGCCACAGACGTTTATCTGGCATTGACATTTTCCGCGTGCTCTGACTTAACTCTTGCCTTAACCCTTTTTGTGGTAACATGTTGATCTCGTTAGCGTGCAGGGCGACCGCGACCCGCCGCGAATTGAAATGAAAGGGAAATGGCAGGAAATTAAAAAGGTTTGCGGCCACCACAACTAGCCCATGTCTGTCGCCTTAATCCTTTTTCGGGCTTAAGGACCGCGCTATTTGACTGCGTCGAGAATATATCAAATGTTCTGCAAATGCGTTTGAAAGTCATTAAATTCATCTGTTTCATTGGTTTGTTGCGGTTCTAATTTGCGGAGACGCAGGTATCAAATTTCTAGCATATTTCAATTGTTATCAGTTAAAAGGGCATAGGGGTTGGGCATTTAGGCAGAGTGGCGCGATTGCTGAGTTGGGTATAAAATGTACAAATTGATTCACAAAACCACAGTCTACTTACGCTTAACTTTTGATATTGCTTTGAGTATAACCTCAAGGAAATTTGAATAAGAGAATAGTAGGACTTTCAAAGTAAATAATGAAATATTTTATGGGAGGCAAACACAGAAAATCCTCTCCCATAAAATGTCAACATAATTTTAATTCAAAGGTATCAAAGAAAGGTCATTGTTGAGTATCGCACTTTGTTGAGAGATTTGGTGAATACACCTCTACACAATGTTTTAAGGTAAAAATAATTTTTATCAACATATAATTTAAAATTTTCTTAAATTAAATGTACTGTAAAAATTCAAAAGCAATATCCAATAAGTGAAGTGTATAAATCAATATACAAAGAAGAAGATTTTTTTTTTACTTTTTTTCCAAAACATAAAGTACTTTTTTCAAATAAAAGTATACATATTTGCGAAAACCATATGGAACTATATTATTTCTTAGGTAAAATATTAATTAATGAATAATTTAATCCCTAAATATTTAAAAGCTTCCTTAATTATTAAATACTTAATGTGATTTTCTGTGCATTACTTGTACATGCTATTAAATGCTGCAACATATTTGCTGGATGTACCCTCCAATACTGATTTGAAAAAATGCTTAGCTCTGTTGGAGTTGAAGTACCTAGCTCTTGAATCACTAACGTAATCAAAGAAGGTCGGTAGAAGCTCTCTTTAATGCCTGTTAGTGTCAATACAGGTGATAAGAAGTTGGCCAAGAACAAAATATAGTCTTTGATATTTTCAAATAAACAATCACCAACTTAGAATGATATGCGAAAGATGTTTTCACAAAACATATTTAAACGTTTACACATTATATTAAAAAAAAAGAATGACAATGTAATTTTATAATTTAAAAAACAAAAAATACGGCTTACTCGTAAATTTCTTAGCGGGTGGTCAGCCGCAGTATCAAAACATACATATATTTTGGAGAGTCCCGAGATAAGTTAAACGATAACATCATGTGATGATGCTTTGCATAATATTAGCTGAAACATGTAGCTGAAAACATAGGAAACATGTTTTCTTTTTTTTCCATATTTAGATCGCGTGCCAAACGACACATTTGATTCACCGGAATCGAAAGTGAGTCCGCCATAAGCGTGTAACACCCGCAATTAGTTTTAAATTTAGTGGGAATTCTTTCGTAGTGACATTTTCGGGATTATTTCGGGTAAATCACAAAAGGTAAATCATCTGGATTGAATGCATCTTTTGAGCAGACGTGGAGTGAGACTAATGAAAATATAATTATTAATGTAAATAAATTTAAATAAAACTACAGACTCGACTGCGGTTTGACGCTTTACACATTTCCCCATGTTATGGAAATTTCCGTAACGTTTAGCCAAGCTACGCAGGCTTAGAATTGAAGATGCTCATTAGGAACTCGTTTATACAGCTATACAGAGAGAAAATGTTGTGAAATCATTTTCCATTTGCTTTCCTTTATGGATTATTATAATTACAAGTTTTGAAGTATTAAAAATTTGCATAAAATGAATTTCATTTTCTTTGTTCTGATATCAAAAATTTTTCCTTTAACCTGTGATAGCGATCTTAACAAAAGTGGGACCATCTCAGGATCTGTTGAGCTTTAAAATATTATCTTCTATGCCTTATGAATAACTCTTTGATATCCGATAAATTGTTAAACGAGTATTAGTTATTATTTAAAGTAATTTAATTTATCATTTAATTACTGTATTCGATATGATTGTTGGCACGCGGGGCGCTCGGTATTAGACCGAGTTTACTCAGACGCCTATTGAACTATTGTGATGTCTGATTATGATTAGCTTAACACGGCATTTTATTTGTGAAATTAATGATGAGGGCCAGTTCCCCTACTTGGAGCGTTGCCAGACCACCCAGATGTTCGCAGCATGGTTTGTCCAGGTACTGGATTCGTTTTCTAAGGATTCCAGAGCAGTTGATTGGAAGCTTACCATTTCTTCCTCATGACCAAATTTGTGGAAGAAATCATTCCATGAAATCATGCATCTTCTTGTCTATTCGACCTACGGTGCAGTGTTCAATTGAAACACCTATCCTATCCTGAATCCTGATCTCCAAAGTGTAGGATTTGGAATGTTTTCTTAGGATTGTAGGCTCTACTTTCCTTTCGAGTTAATACAACATTCGAACTGCAACTTGGCTTCAATGTAAAGACTTAGAAACAACTTAAAACAAAAATTTTATAAGAAAAAGTCCATTAATATGATTGAATCATTGACTAGAAAGCTAAATAGGGCGAATCTGTTTCTGTCTCTGAAAAATGTGTGTACATATTTTTATTCAAACTTAAAACTTTTGAGAAAAAAAAGTACCCCAAAAATACGCGATTGTCACCAATATTGGCCGACTAAGCCAATTTAAATGAAATGATCTCTTAATGGCAATAAAATGTACACTGCCTATTATTAATATCCAAGTATTTATATTCAGTTGGATTGGATTGATCATTTTAGTTCACAATAATTGAAGTGAAATAAGCTGCGGATCTAAGTATGTGAATCATTAAAAATAACTATTTTCCAAACTGCAAACAGCGATGCACATTTGTGCATAAACGCTTAGTAATTATAACGATTTTAATAATAGATCCGTGTAATGGCCTGCCCCGTCAATATTGGCGGCACAATAAACTGAATTACTGAATTACTCCATAAGTAATGTGCCGGCATGACTAAGGCACGCAAATTTCGAGAAACCAGAAGCCGTAGAAATATGTTAGTAATGTCGTTTAGTGGATTTTTGGAGCAAATGTCATTGGATTGAGGTTGAGAGGTAAGTTCAATGATCTCGCTGAACAAAATTTCCTTTATCAAGCAGCGATTTTATTGATTTGAGCTGACGATGTCAACCAATGACATGCGTATTTTGCTGAAATCCGGTCGATTTCATAATTTTTAGCATCTATTAAGAGTCATCATTCTGAGCGTTTAAGCCAGAAGTAACGCCCATTTACGCGTGAGCCCCCGTCTGCGAACAGATACGGTTCATTGATAGAACTAGCCGCAGAAGTTATTAGCCTTAGCCCCGAACCCCGGCCCTGGGCCGGGCCCGCTCTTAGCCATCAATAGCGCCAGCACCGGTTCTCAATATTCTGTTCAGCTCTCGCATTAAGCCGCTCGCTTCAAACTGGCTGCGGCTATAAAAGCCTTGCGATTCTTTGGCTGATCACACAGTTTTGTTGTGAACGTGAAGTGGATCGCGTGCGCCTCCATTTAATAATAATAAACAAATTATTACCGCATATAATATTATTAAGAAGTGTTAATTTGAACAAAAATGAAAGCGTTCGTGTGCATTTTAATCTGCCTGTTGAGTGCAAATTATGCGACAGCGCAATGTGAGTAAAAATACATCCCAGAAAAAAGGTGGCAATTAAATCCAAAGATTCAGATCATAAACTCGTTATAAGTTACAAGCTGGTCGGAAAAAATCCCAGAACCGATGGCGTTGGGAAAAGACACACAAATGCGTATCTGGAGGTGTCTCATGCGTTCAAATGCATATTCGTACACATGTGGAAAAGTTTTACAAGCTGACGCAGTCGAACCAGTCGGCAGATGAGCACGCGCTAATATATTCAAACGGGCCATTGTCCGGCTCGATTTGAATATTCAATAATAATGCTGATGAAAACAAAAAACGGGATTTGCTATTCCACCATTATATGACGCGCAAACAACTTGAAGAACAACTCATTTAAGCCGTGTGATTAATGAGTGGTAACTAAGTAGCAAATGCGTACTTCAAAATTAGGCTACACTGCAGGACCAAAAGTATTGTGATTAAATCAAAAAAGGAGACGTTTTTTGTTTAAAGAAACTAATGATTGGATAAATGCTTCGGTTTTTAATTCAAAATTCCATAAAAAGCTGATTCAGGCAACATTTTAGGATCAATTTTCAGGCAACATTTTAGGATCAATTTTCAGTTTACAAGCAATTTAAGCTAATTCGGACAGCATTTAAAAATTTGGTATTCACGATTAATTCACAATAATATACTTTCAATATAGACAACATTTATGAATCAATTTTCAACGTACTCGAATCCAAGATGCACATATATATTAGGTATAAGCAGGATACTTTGGTTTTCAATTCTAAATTCCACATAAAGCTAATTCAGATAACATTTTAGAAAAAATTTGTAACTTATTAATATACATGATACATTCACAATAATATACTTTCAATATAGACAACATTTCAGAATCTCTTTCAAACGTACAATTATATCCAGGATTGATTTACAATAATACTTGAAATGTATTTGTTATATTTGGGAGCAAAGAAATACTTTAGTTTTTAATTCGAAATTCCGAATACAGTGAATACAGACTTTATTTTAGAATCAATTTCAAACGTACTAGTATCCATAATAGATTAACAATAATATATTTTTAATACACTTTGGTTTTTATTTTGAAATTCCGAATAAAGCTAATTTAGACAGCATTGAATAACAATTATAAACTGGCAAAATAGATAACATTTAAGAATCAATTCCAAACGTACTAGTATCCACAATTAATTCACAATTATTAATAATATATTTGTTATATTAGGGACTAGAAAAATATTTCAGTTTTTAATTCAAAATTCCCCATAAAGCCAATTCAGACCTAATTTTGGAATAATTATAAAATGTGTCCATGCCAGATACACAATAACGTTTTTTACTCAAGTAAACTAATTTCGAAATTTCGCACCGTATCAGTTAATTATCATCTCATCCGCTCAACCTGTTAAGAAATAAGCATGCTAACTTAGAGGCTTGACGAGTCTTTATGTCTTTTCCCAGAAATTTTATGCTTTCTTACGAGCAGGCATTGAAGGGTAAATCCCAAAGAAGATTGCCGAAGAACTACACGTATTTGTGAAATTCAACAAATAACTTTATAAATTATTTGCTTAACTAAAGCATTTACGAGTACAGCTCGCTATCCCAACACAACTGAACGCTGCAATTCTCTTAACGAAGGAATTTAAAAGGATGATTATCCTACCTGAGAAGAACTTATAATCATAGATAATGTGTGACCAAAGCACTGTATCCCACCTGAGAAGAACATCATAGATAACCAACCATGTCCAACCATAAAGTCTTTAAAGTTTTATCCAGGTCTGAGGCTAAGAAGCTTACGAGAATTATCCCTCTTTAAATGAGAAAGTATGTGATATGCGAGAAAAAAAAATTGGTTCTCTAAGGTCTTATTCTTGATTCTTATCTTCACTACTGTGTTGTTAGTTTTCTTAGTCCCACCGAATTTGTTCAATTTTTGTTGACTTTACTGTTGCCGTTAAAACTGGCCACCCGCCCAAATGTGCAACCGCAAGAATGTCGCAAACTGTTTTGGTCGCGTGTTTTTCGCGTGCTTCCCCTTCGCATTGAGAACCAGATTTTTAACACAATGTTGCTATATATTTAATTCCTTTTCAGATGCACGTTGCGTGAATCCCAATCAGCGAGCTGGTCTCTGCGTTCACATTAACGATTGTCAGACTTTATATTCGGTGCTGAAGCAGCCCAACCTGTCGTCCAGTGTTAAGGAATTCATCAAAGCCTCCGGCTGTGGCATGGGCCGAGACAATCGACCTTTTGTCTGCTGTACTCAAGATACAGGCTATACGCGTAGCCGTCGACTCACTCCTTTCTTCAACGACTACGAGGATATTAATGCTGGGAACAACAATGATTTCTATTGGGAGGCACCGGCGCCAGCACCAACGCAGCCAACACGCTCATTGTTCTTCCCACAGGACGACTTCGGAACGAGGAACTTCAACAACTTTGATGAGGAGCCTCAAGTTCAGCCACCAGGCCGCAGCACTGGTGGGGTTCGGGGCAATGGCGATGGCGGTAGTTTGCTGCCTCAGCCACCAACTTGTGGAGGTGTGACCATAGTCAACAAAATCTATGGTGGCCAGGATACTGGGCTCAACGAGCATCCGTGGGTCGTGCTCTTGGAATATCGACGCTTAGCTGGTGGCGGCCTCAAGACAAGTTGTGCGGGTTCGCTGATCAATCAGCGATATGTGCTGACAGCGGCGCATTGTGTGACCGGTCGGATAGAACGAGATGTCGGACCATTGTGAGTATTAATGAGAATTAGTGGGGCTCATCAGTTGGTGACCTACGAGATGTTAAGACAATTTCAAAAACTTAGAAGAGGAATGTTAGTATTGTTTTCTGTGATTCAGATGGAAATCAAAATAGTCCATTGTATCGGCTTCATTTGCGAATTCGACTTCATTTTTAAAGTGTCTCAATTGCTTTTTAAAATTGAATTCGAAAAAGTTATAAGTAGGATTGGGATATATGATCTTATAATATGGGTCACGCACTTTATTCTGTTAAAAAAAAACTCTTTATATTTATTTATCTCACTTTATTCTGTTAAAAAAAAACTCTTTCTGATGTATTTTATCAGAGAGCCATTTGGAATGATTCTATTAAAAAAAAATTTTTAAATAACAGTTGTAGGACAAATCAATACAATAAATAAATAAATAATAGCGACGCTTTAAATTAAAATTGTGGGAGAAAAAACATCAAAATGATGATAAAGGTTTGCCTTAATTTTTTTTTTTGATTTGAAATCTAAAAAAAATTCTACCAGCTTTTATATTTTTCTAGATTTTAATAATTGAATTTTATAATTCCGTAACTATTGATAAAATGTAAAAAGTTAGCAAGATGATTTTTTAGCAAGTCATTGCCCTATTTTCTAATTATTTATTCTCATGATGTATTTGTCAGATAAATGAGTCGAAGATCGTGTAAAATATATACAAAAAGAAGAAGATACATATCTATGTTTATAAACATAACTAATGCCAAAATCATAGCTAGCGGTTCAATATCCTGAAAAATAGAATCGATCATTTCAAAAGCAACCTGTTTTTGTGAACTTGTTATTTAAAAGTTCAAGACTCTCAGCTTTATGTCTCAAGTATTGCAATGTTTTTATATATTCACCTAGTTGTATCTGTAGAGCAATTTCTACCACTACCTTCCCCACACTACTAAATTTAAATTGTTAATTTTCATGTTATGTAAAGTTAATTCTCAATACTGAATGCATGAAACGAAACGTCAACAACCTATTGCGATTGGACGTCACTGATAAACGTTTTCAGAGAAAGTTATATGAGCGCTTATTCATAGTTGTTTTGATTTCGAACGATTTCCAAGAATTGAACCTTAGTTTCGCGCAACTGTTGGAGGCTGTAAGGGATCCCCAGAGCGTACGCATGACTTAGAAACTTTGTCGGACTCTGAATGGTAGAAAATAACAAGCTCCAGGCTGTTATTATTGTTTATTGTTGTCTTTCTGGTTTTAAAATGCAAGAATCTTAATTAACACTCTGAACGACGTTCAAACCAGATTTTTAGAACGTGTTGTTTTGTTGTTGTTGTTTTGCCACTTGTTAACAATTCATTTAGCCGTGATTCATTCAGTTTCAGTGTTTTTGGTGAGGTAGGTAGGTGGGTTGGTCGCTTCGCCGGTGGCCGCAGGTCGCTGTCCATTCGTTACGCTCTTAACTTTAATCGCTGAGCAGTTGACCCATGGTTTCAGTAGTGGTTCTGGCACGTTCGCACTTTTAAAAATCAATTAGCTAGTCGATTGCCTTGCTTAATGAGATTTACATTTCCTATACTCTATTGCAGAACCTCCGTACGTCTGGGTGAGCATGACACGCGTAGCACTGTCGACTGCTCCGGTAATGTGTGTGCACCGGAAGCTCAACGTGTGGGCATCGCTGAGAAGCGCGTGCATGACAGCTATAGAATGGATTCCCCAAATCAAGTGCACGATATTGCGTTGATTCGCATGGAGCGCAATGTACGTTACTCGGACAGCATCCGACCCATATGTCTACCCTCCGTTGCTGGCCCGGAGCCGCGACGTGCCGGCCAACAGTACACAGTCGTTGGCTTTGGACGCACCCTGCAGACCAAGGAGAGTCCTGTCAAGCAAAAGCTAACTGTGGCCTATGTGGAGCCGGCCCAGTGCCAGCGCAAGTTTGCCGAACGCAAAATCCAAATCGCACCCACCCAGATCTGTTTGGGAGGTAAGTTCGGACAGGATAGCTGCGATGGGGATTCCGGTGGTCCGCTGATGCGCTTCCGTGGCAGTGCCTGGGTTCTGGAAGGCATCGTCTCCTTCGGCTACAAGTGCGGCCTCAACGGCTGGCCGGGCGTCTACACAAATGTGCAAGCCTACGATATATGGATAAGGCAGAATGTGAGAGCCTAATTATAGTACAACTGTTAATCAGGTTTAAGTCTGAAGCTCTAAACGTGATCTTGCCGCATCTGGACGCCGACTGGCTGGCGTTCACACATACAAATACACGTCACCCATACACACACACATACGTAATATTTTAAAATAATTATAAGTATTTGTTTAGCTTTTAAACTGTTAGCATTAGAACCAGTAGTAAGATCAAATAAAAATGAAAATAAATCAAATGCAAAATATGCGAATTATGCATTTCAAAAATGGCATTCTATATGGGATTATTAAATTATATAGACAGACTTTTGCATGGACTAATGTGAAATGCGCATCTTCAAAAAAAAAAAAAAAAACGTTTAGAAGTCTTTAGAAACTTTGTTAAATTATATCTTAAATATTATTACATACTTTAAAGACAATTATCTTTCTTTTCATATCATTTAATTCAATCATGCGAGAATTGGTGGGTTGGTTTATAGTCGACCTCTAATTATGCTTTCATTCACATCTACCGTTTTGACTGAGACAGTCAAGTAAGTTCATAGACGTATAGTTAATCGAATAGTATTTTGTTCTCTTTATGTGAATATGAATTACAAGTATATTATATTAATAATATTGAAATTTGAGGACAATTCGAATTAATTACTTTTTGTATAATATATAATAAGAATATATTTATATTGTTAATAAACGAATAAATGAAACTATATTAAATAAAATGGAAATATTTTTATTGGAACAAACGAAAAGCTAAAGAAAATCGCATAGTTAACATTATAACTAGAAGCAAAACCAAAAATGATATATAAAAAGAAACAGCATACTTGTATATAGGACAAATATATTAATCGAGGAAATAAAGAATTAAATCTATATTTATAGTATTATTAAAAAAATTTTTTTATAATATATAAATAAATTAAAGATGAGAACTAACAACTTATTCGAACTGCGAAATATTAAATTATTATAAAAAAATATAATAATATAATGTAATATTTATATTTATGTTCTTTAAATTTTGAAATTAAAATAATACTGTTGATTCAGAAAAAGAAGTAAAGGAATTAAATCACAATTTAAATCCTTACATTGAATATTCATTGAAGCACTTTAAAATTATTAAATTGATTTCAAAACGGAAACAATTTTCAAATATTAAGCAAAAGCAATTATCATATTAAAAACAACGAAATATAGTCATAAATATGAAATCAAGACGAGAATAGAAGTCTTAAATACCCCACACCTACTGCCACAAAAAGGCTATACTAATATGATTCTTTTACAGACAGAAGGAAACTTTGTAGATTACATGTTTAAATAGTAGACATAGCGCTTTTATTAAAGAAAGAACCAGAAAGTTTTCGGACACGGAAGAATGCAGTGTGCTTATGAGGCTTTCGCGCCACTGTGTATACAAATGTATACAATTTTTTGAATACTATGTGTACAAATATGCTAAGACGTATGTACTATGGAATGTGTTTATTTGATTATCTCTCTTTTGAAAATCTCTAATAATAGTGGGCAGATGTGCTATGCACTTGAATACGTCGCTATTTAGTATATCCTTAATATTTTATTATCATGTCTGTCATACTTGTATCACTTATTGATGCAAAATAATTCTTAGTAGGATAACTTTTGTTACTTATATTACAATTATATTTACTCTATTTGCACTACTACCCTTATTATAATACTTATATTATCTTATAGCTGTCATAGGAATGATCGGTGTAGATATCAAGCTTAATACCTTATTTGAGTTAAAAATAATATAAATCCTTTTGTTAATTTAATATAACTAATTTCCAGTTTCTGATTTATAAACATAAAAATGAGGGTCTTCTATTTGTCGCCAGAGTTTGCATTTTGTTATTATTTGCACACCCTTTATTAACCTGTAAGGCAGTTTCTGATTTTTATAATCATTAAGTGTTTTTATTGCTTATCGCCTTATATTAATCTACTATTCAGTTTCTTATTTATAAACTCAATGAGTGTGTATTTATATGTTAAAATGTTCTGATATTCTTGCGTAATTTTTTAACTATTTTCAAATTGTGGCTTAGTACTTTCGATTTATTCAATAACAATATATAAGTAATAACATTTTATATATATATTAAGATTTAAAATTAAAAATTCAAATATGATTAATATTTGCAGCATGCATCATGCATCTTGTTATTATTTGCATACCCTTTATTAACCTATTAAACAGCTTCTGATTTATTATTTATAGAAATCTATTACTTATCGCCATATTTTGCGATTTGTTATTATTTGCATACGTTTTATTAATCTACTATTCAAACAGTTTCTTATTTATAAACTGAATGTGTGTGTGACTACAACTAAGTGCGACTAAAAATTTCCATAGCTAATAGGCTACCTAACTTATGCTTGATATGCTTCTAAATCTATTGATGGGACTTTCCAGCAACAACAACATCAATATGAACTGCTGAGGCCAAAGTCAAAGGCAAAATCAATACAAAGTGCATTGTCATTGCCACTGGGCTTTAATTGGCCGCAGGCAGTCGTTGGCAAAACCGCAAGAAAACTTCCGCTTGGGCCGCAGTGCTGATTAAAAGCTCTGCACTGGATTTCGCAGTGGCTCCTAAAAGTAGGCAATGCGCCGGCAGAGCTTAAATTGCGAATGAAAGTGAAACCAGCTGCACAGCTGAGCGAGCGGACAGACCTTCCGACTATCTCGCTGTCCCGCTGTCCCGCTGCCTGTCTTGATTGCATAATCGGACCAGTTAGTGCGGCGCTTGACCGTTGCTCTCGTTTCGGTCACAGCCGCTGCAGTTTTGGACTCGTTTGGATTGGAAACAAAAAAAGATGTCACGAGAAGCGTCGGCGGCGAAGGCGGTAGCATTACTTTAAACAGCAGGGGTTTTTTTTTTGGTGTGTTTTTTTTGCCACTTCGGCTCTTCCGTCGTGCCGACATCGTTGGCTGTTGTCGTTGTTGTTGTGTGCAGTTCAAGTGCCGCTGAGGTTTCAGTTTCGATTTCGCGCAGCATTCAAATTCAATACACAGCTGAGCGTTCGCGTGAGCGGTTTTACAGTTTTTTTCTGACTCTGAGCGCGTATCTGCTTTTACGTTTATTTCTTCTTCTTTTTCTTCGTTTTGTGACCGCGATTGCGTATACGCCGTGTTGTTTACATCGCCAGCGTTCAGCGTCGTCAGCAATATTTACTTTCGCAATTACAATTGTGTCGATTATTATTAGACCTATAATTACGAGCAATCGATCGTTCGATTGTTGTTGTCAGTGCCTCGACCGCCGTCGCTCATGTTTCGCACGGCGCATTGGGCTTTGTGGGCGGCCGCCTGCTCATTGCTCGCCAGCTGCTGTCTCGCAACGGATGAGATCGGACGTCAGAGCTGCGATATACCCAACGAGACGAAGCGTGGCATTTGTGTGCAGGTTAGCCAATGCTCGGCGTATCTTCAAGTGCGCAATGTGACGAACTTAACCGCGGAGAAGGTCAATTTTCTAAAGAAAGTGCAATGTGAACTCGAAACAATTGCTTCCGGCGATCAGCCTGCAGATGACGGTCATGCCGACTATGAATCGTTAGTCTGCTGCCCGGCCAATGGACAGGATTATCTATATCCTGTCATACAGTTCTCCAAATTCGAGTATCGGCGCTTTCTCGATGTCACGGCGCGCTTTAAAAAGAAGAAACTCAAACGACGCATTCAAACTGTCGAGCCTAGCACGGGCTTTAATTTGCTTAACGAATGCGGCAAACAGGTCACAAATCGCATCTATGGCGGCGAAATAGCCGAGCTGGATGAGTATCCCTGGTTGGCTCTGCTGGTCTATCATTCAAGTAAGTTGAACTTGAATCTCAATAATATTTTGATATAATTACGTTCAAATTTAATTTCATTTAAGACCTATTCAAATGTTGTTCAAACCTAGCTTCGTTTTTCGACAAAATTTAGACACAATTTCGGCCCAAAAGCTAGAATAACCAAAGTTGGTATCCAGATTCTCCTATGTCCGAGAAAGAACGAGTTTATTTTATTTTTTTGAAATGGCGAATGCTTCTAGAAATACTAAGCATATACCATTAAATATAACTGTGCACATTATGATTTTTGGTGTTAGAGAGCTCCTATCTACCTATGTATGACTAAATTGATCTTCTTTTACAGATGACTATGGCTGCAGTGGATCTCTAATTGATGATCGTCACATCTTAACCGCCGCCCATTGTGTACAGGGTGAGGGCGTGCGTGAACGTCGTGGATTGTGGGTTTGCTTTAACCAGAATTGTAATTAACTTTATTCATTTCTAATTGTGGCTTTCTTCTATTTATAGAAAACATGTGCGCTTGGGTGAATTTAATGTCAAAACAGAGCCCGATTGCGTTGAAGAGCCTAACTACTTGAGCTGTGCGGACGCTGCTTTGGATATAGCTTATGATAAAATATATGTGCATCCTGAATACAAGGAGCATTCTAGTTACAAATACAATGATATTGCCATCATTAAGCTGAAGCATCCTGTGTCCTTTACACACTTCATTATGCCCATTTGCTTGCCAAATAATACGGCTGAGACGCCTTTTGTGGAGGGACAAACGTTCTCGGTCTCCGGTTGGGGACGAACTGATCTATGTGAGTAAGATACAGCTTGGAAATGTAATTTAGTAAACATTTTTTGATGTGCTGATAGATATAATATTTGATATTTTTTAATGATCAGCTAAGACTTCCCGTTTGCATTTTCGTCTGTAATTCATAGCGAAATGACAGAAGAGTGAAACAAAAGCTAAAAGGGTATACTTGTTTTAAATTGAACTTATGCTTTTTTGCTTAAAATGTAGTAGCTTAGGTTTTGATCAAGAGAGGAACAATGTTGAGACACCACACACTTAATATTTGTAAGTACTGAAAAGTATGTATTTGAAAATTCAAGATGAGAAGAAGTGGCTCTAACGGATAGAAAATAATATTTTTACTAATTAAAAATTGTTGTATGCAAAACACTTGGAATATAAATATAATATCAAATTTAATAATCTGATCAGGAATTACACAATTATCATTATCGATGCAATTCGAAAACATTATATAATATATATTTGTGAACAATTTGGATGTCGAAAACGTAACAATGGTCGGCCTATTCCGCCTAAGAAGAATTAGCAATAATAAATGTGTGTGTTTAGTTGAAGTAATTTTTTTAAAGCCGACAAATATTGAATGGAATGATATTTTCATATGTTGAGATAATTTGCAATTGAAATTACATCTATATATCACCTATATATTTAGCATACGCAATATAATGAATTACACTTTAACCGATAATTATCAAATGGAAATAGATTACTAAATGACTTTCCTCTTTAAATTTGCAGTCAACAAGTACTTCATCAACATACACAGCCCCATTAAATTGAAGCTGCGCATACCCTATGTGTCGAATGAGAATTGCACGAAAATATTGGAGATGTTTGGGGTACGTTTGGGGCCGAAACAGAAGTGCGCCGGTGGGGAATATGGCAAAGATACCTGCGCCGGCGATAGTGGTGGTCCACTAATGTACTTCGATCGTAAACATTCCCGATGGCATGTCTATGGCATCGTCAGCTACGGATTCACACAATGCGGCATGGCCGGACATCCGGCGGTTTACACAAATGTTGCCGAATATATGGATTGGATTCAAAGTGTTCTGGGCACTTGACAACAGATTTATTCGATTTACCCAGTGGGGTGGGTGGCATCTAACAACACCGATATTTTCAAATATTTGTACATATTTTGCTAATTATCTAACGGCAAATGCTCGTGCCGTCTGCTATTTGACTAATTGTGTGTGCGACTGTGTGTGTGTGTATGCATGTGTGTGTATGTCTATGGCTGAGTGCTATTTGTGTGCGTTAACAAAAGTCTGAAAAACATGTCTTTATTTAAATAAACTATTAAAATATTTACACAACAACAACAATAAAAACATGAAATTGAAAATAAAATTGAGAAACACACTTGTTGCTTTAATTTTTTAAAAAGAACCGTCACAGTAATTAAACAAAAATGATTTGAGTTTCAGGTTTTGTGTCGTTTTACTTGGAATTGCATCACGCCCTTCAGCTCTGAAGTGTCTCATGATTCACAATTGCCAGAGTCTGTTACAATAACTCACCCGCACCGACAATTGTGTGGTTAACCACAATTGGCCACAAAGGCGGCTTTTATTCGCATGCCCGCTTAGTCAACGCCTGCCCTTGAGTGGGCCATAAAAAAGGAGCAGCCAAGAGTGTGCAGTCAGTCACCTCCCACTGGTTCCAATTGGAAATTAATGATGGACTAAGAAGAGCTGCAAAACTATCGATAGTGGGTCATCTCGATTATTGCGATAGTACGTGTTTCATAGTCGGACATGAAAGATTTGCGATTTTAATTACCTCGCTCGCATACTCTCAACAGAGCTCTCTTCTTCCCTTCCTTACGACTATAATGACCTCTATTTCTCTCTACGACTTAAAGAAATCCTTTTCTATGATTATACTTGATTAGGTGGGGGGCCACAGCTTGTAGGACTATTTTTTAACTTTCCTCTACTAAGTTGGATATTTTTGTCCTTTCTGAATTAATTTTTTCATTTATTATTTCCATTTTATAGGTTTAGTTTGTGAGATCGATCTATAACGTCTTTGAACATATCTGACTGTGAAACCAAATACCAAATCTTCCAACATATCGGAGGCGTTATATTACTGTAAATTTCCAAGATGGCATAAATCAATGCTTAGAGCATGGTTATTGCAGCTCGTATACTTTTTGAGAATCTGGCGTTCATGCAGACGTAGAGACAGAGGCTGTTTTACATCTTCTTCCGTGTATAACATATGAAAATTCTTTTGCATAGTATAAAATCAACAATATTTTATTGAAATCCAATAGTAATAGCTATAATGGCGACCATTCTACTATAAATTTACCTTCAAATAGAATAAGTTTTTTGCAAAATATTTGCTGTAAATCTACAAATCTTACACCACTTTTTGTGGATCTGGGCGTAGAAGAAATGAGAAAACGGCATTAAAATTCAAGGCTTTAATTAAACTTGAGTCAATCTTTTCAATAGAATATTCAAAAACGTTTAGTATTAAGTGTTACTATTTTGCATTTGGGAAATTGATCTTAAAACAAATACCTTTCCAAATACTGACATCTATTCTACTTGCCTTTTTTCTTCTAAGTGTATACTTGGCAAATAACTTTTTTTGACGTTTGTAAATTAATCATTATTATTAATAATTAATTTAATTAGGGAGGCGTTTTTGAAATAAATTTTCTTGCATGTTGTTGGCAAAGACAAGTTCAGAATTTGTTCAACAAGTTCGGCTTTTGTTACCACTGTGCATAAATTGGCCGTGGCTCGCCATCATCAGCTGTTGTCACTTTTTCAGCTGACAAAAAATAACTTGTTATTGCAGTTTTTTCGACTTTTTTTGTTTTAAACATATGCGTTTTGATGTCGTCATTGATTGCCACACTTTGCTTTCACTGCTCATTCGCGTGCACTCAAAAACGTCGTTGTATTTTAGCCATAAAAACGAAGCAGCAGCGATTTTATCGCCAAATGATGCAATAAAACCAAAAACCACAAACTAGTCCAGTCATTCATCAGTTCGACAAAAATAGCCCGAAAGAAGAAGAAGCAGAAGAGGAGCTCGATTTGTATGCAAGCCGGCTTAAGCAGGTGGCTATAACCGATTGTGCCACTGACCAAAATTGGCGACGATTTGGAAGCGATAGCTGCCGTTGCCGTCCCCGTTGTCTGTTGTCTGTTGCCGTTACTGATGAGTGGTGTGCGTCATGCCCGTCGAGAGGTGAAAGTGAACTTGACTGCTGGTCGAGCGGTTGAGGCGTCTCTGATATGCTGTAGTGGAGCCGAAGCGTCGTTCATGATTCTCCGATAGGCGCCACATTAATATTCATGATGATGTTTAATCAATGAGCAATACCCCCAATATTCGTACGAAGAAGACGAGACGGCGCCGCAGTCTTTCCAGGTTTGTTTGTATTGTTATCGCCGCTGATATTTGTGGTTTTCATTATGAAGCTTTGGCGATTATTATGTTAACCTTGAACTACATAGGTGAGTGTATTATCATGCTAATGGACACGTATGCCAAACGCAAATTGGCAAAACGTACAGATTTGACATTGAAAATAATAATGAATAATGAATGCAGTCAAAATAACCCGAAATATGATTATAGGCACAGCACTTCAGGTTTGGTTTCCATACATTTTTCTATTCACCTAACTTCCTTCACATATTGGCGGATTTCCATTAGAGTTATACTTCGTATATATGTACATCTGATTTTATTTATTTGAAAAATTAAAACAAAAACAAACTACTTAAAATATAAGAATAAATTAAAAACGTATGGGGAGAAAACTTAATAATATTTTATCAGTTCGGTTCGCTTTCCTCAGTCGCTTTCCTCAGTCTTAAACAACATTTCAAAACTGGTCAGAACAAAAAGAAAACATACAGCTATAGGGAATGACTTTTCAGTGAAGAAGGCTTTATCGAGTATGCGAGAAACGGCTGAAGGGAACTCAAAAATTGAACTATTTTATATGTCTATCAGTATGAGATTTGGCTGAAGAGAAATCAAACTCAATTTTTTAATTTTTTTAAATATTCGAGCAAGGCTTACAGATCTTGTTATACATTTTGGGGCCCTCTAGCTTCATGTTTCAACCTATTTCTTTATTTATTTTTATTTTTTTTGCAAACTCTATCTTACTTTTAAGTTAGTTTGCTAGCCAGTATGCATTGGATAATTTTCTGACAGAGCTTCGCGGCAGCTCAATTAATTTAGAATTCTTAATTAATGCATGAAACTAGGAAGTATTTTTTACGGACCCATTCAGCTTTCAGATACCTTCTAAAGCAGCTCATGCCAGCGACTCAGTTATTGCTCCAAAAGTGAGGTTGACAAAGAAAGCTCTTAAAAAAACATCTAACACAAGAATGAGAAATTAATAACATTTCTCTTCATTTTATAAATAGATATATTTTTTTATTTACTAACAAACAAAGCTGCCGATGTAGAAAATCAATACAATAGAAATCTTAAAGTAAACAACATTTTATTTGGCAACCCACCAGTTTTGCCCCGGTTCATAGCACAGAGCAGTCAGAGACTTTATTAGTTATTAGACCCAACATAAAGCTACATATTCCATCAGATCTTAAGTTTTGGCATTGGAATTTTGGAATATTAATGTCTGTTCTTTTTGGCAGATGAAGGAGCAGAGCAGGCCCAAGCTATCCAAATTTTAGGAATGCAATCCAAATATATATATATATATATATATATATATATATATATATATATATATATATATATATATATATATATTTTTTTTTTTTTTTTTTTTTTTTTTTTTTTTTTAAGCCAATTGTCATTTAATAGGTACATATGTCTTGGTTTAAAGAGTTTGTTTTTCTTTTCGCTCAATAATTTGTTAAGGTTTTTTCGCCTTTTGATTCCCCTATACTCACTATCCTTAAAGAAACGAAGAAATCTTGATTGAGAACAATGTGGATGTTTGGTATCATGGTTATCCAGAAACGCTCTATGCTTATAGGTAATAATTTTTGCACCTGAAATGAGTGTGGTTCATTGTCATATCGACCAGGAAAGTGAGACGAGATAGATTTGGAGAATTTTCATTGCTTCATCCGGAAGATAGTAACTTTTTCATACAAAGAACTTTTAAGAATTTGCGCTGCAATATTCACTTACAAAACGTTTATAATAGCCGGCATTATACCTGATAAATGTGGAGCCAGATGCACATCTGGCATTATTTTAAACAAAAGAACAAATTCAAATGTCAATCAAACTTTGAAACGCACAGTGACCGCAAAAAATGAAAAATTGAGAGGGCTGGCAAAGGAAAATTCGATTAGCGACTAGCTGGCAATAAAAGTGGATGCAACGCCCACAAGCCCAACATTATAAAGCCAATTTCAATAACCAACCTAAGAGGTCTGCTGGGTAATTGTCTAAAAGTAAAATCACCCCTGACTTCTAATTGCCAGTTTGGACATTTTCTAAAGTTTGTTTAGAAGAAAATTATATGGTTGGGCTGAAAATTGAGAATTAGCCATATGTTGGACAGGAAGGCAGGCAGGTAAACAAAATCCAACTCCCCTCAGTCGTCACCCCTTCCCTACTCTCGTTCTGGATTTTTGTAAATTTGTCGATTGTTTTGCCATTGCACAGCTGAAGCAAAGCACACTACAATAAAAGTTGATCGTTTTTGTTAATTTCGCGCTGCTGCTCATATCAATAAATGCCAACGTGCTACACAGACGTTGACATGCCATTAACTGTCAAACGACAAACGCGTCACATTCAGGATATATATGTGTGTGTATATATATATATGTAGGTACTATAAACACACAATTGCTTTGCATTACGAGCACTTATCCAGGGATGCCTTAAGCCATCATCGATGTATCGCACCCTGTCGCAAGGGTAACTTGCGGAGCATTTGCGCGAAATTGTTGTATAAATTCAATGAAATTAGAATGTGAAAAAGAAGAAAAATAAATAAACATAGCCATGAAAATGGCAAATGGAAAAAGTGTGCAGGGCCCATGTGTGTTTGTATCGCTTTCATTAGTTAATGGATTGGGTGTGCAAGCATATGTAGGTACGAGCAGTAATAAATGGAAGAAACATAAAATAAAAATTAGAGCTGCAATTGAGTTGTATTGTAAATGTGAAGGGTTTTATTTTGTCAAGCAATTGCATTAAATACCTAACTATCTGAGACAAGTTCAAAAGTGCCTAAAAAATAAATGAAGCCAAGACAATGGCAAAAAAAAAAAAACAGTTAGTATCGCAAAGTATTAGCTTAACAGGAAATACTTTCCTGCTTCCAGCCCAGAACTAAACCCAATTAGAAATTGGTGGACTCTGCTAGAAAAAACGACTCGAT